ATATATCCCCTTTTTTTAGTTCTGTCATTTGAATGTTATAGGTGTGTTAACTCAGCAAAATATTGTAAAAGAGTCCAGTAATCCATAATAGTATTGGGTCTTCTGCTTGACTGGCAGGGTCAGAAATTGTTGACCTGAGTTCCCTACTGAATTTCTTTTCATTCAATAAATGCTCCCTTATATCTTTGAGTTATAATTATGTTTTTTATATTTTCAAAGTCACTTTATGATCCTAGTCATGACTGTACTCAGGGCGGTGAGCATTTATTCATTTCCCAAACTAAATAATCACTTATACTAATTATAGAATTAGGGTCACCACACATTTCCACTTTTTTCTTTTATTTATTTATTTATTTATTTATTTATTATTTTTATATATTTATTATTGAGAAATAAATATGAATTAGACAGTTTCACAGCTGATTAATAGGACAGTTTTGATAGTCAATACACTGTACATTGTTATCTTCTTAGTGGTTATCCATAGTACAAGAAGCAGACAGGATATCCTGTCCAAACACTGTTAGTACACCTCTTTCTTCTCATGGAATTAATTGAAAGTAGCTGTAAATTTATCCTAACTATTTTGTATATGTAAATACAAAATGATCTTTCTTTTGTATCCTTTTTTTTTCCTGTCAGAGGTGAATATTCTGTTGGCATCCGAACACTAGTAAGTGTCTGAATTCAACTAAACAATGTGACACTGTCTAGCAGTCTATAATACCCATTTTTTTTCAAGACAGCGTTCACTATACATTTCAGGCCAGTCTTTTTTCTTTTTTCTTCTTTCTTAATTTGGTACAGGGTCTTGCTGGGATAACAAGCATGTGTCACCTTGCCTGACTTCGTGGCTGGCTCCAGGGCCAGCACGGCATGCAGTACTGGGAATTAAACATGGGTCCTTGTGCTTGCCAGGCAGGCAGGTGCTTAAACCACCGAGCTCTCTCCCCAGCCCCTTAGGCCTGCCTTGAACTCACTGGCTACCATGTTGGCCGGCGCCAGTACACTTCACAGAAAAGTGCCCCTTCCAGCAGGAATAATTCTATTAGTATGATTAAGTTCTAGAAAAAAAATTTTTTTAAACATTTATTTACTTATTTATTTATTTATTTAGAGAGAGAGTGTGTGTGTGTGTGTGTGTGTGTGTAGCCAGCTCAACTCACCAGGGGGCGGGGCTGGCGTGTGGTGCTGGGGGATTGAACCAGCTTAGTGGCTATCCTTGTGCTTTGCCAAGCTTGTTCCAAGTAGGTGCTTTAGACCACTGAGCCATCTCGCCAGCCTGAAAAAAAAATTTTATTGTTGATTTTTTTTGTTGTTGTTGTTCAAAAAATTTTTTTAGAATTGTGTTTAGTTGTGTGAAAAGTTGTCAACTAGTTTTCTTAGAATTAATTCTAGGAGGGGCCAGGGAAATAGCTCGGTACAATAAGCGCTTGCCTGGCAAGTACAAGGCCCTGAGTTCAATCCCTGGTTCCGCAAAAAAAAAAAAAAAGAAAAGAAAAGAAAAGAAAAAAGAATTTAATTCTAGGGGAAAAAGAATAATTAATTCTAGGGCTGGGAAGATAGCTCCGTAGCATAGTGCCTGACTGGCATGTGCATGGTCCCAAGTTTGTTCCGCAGTACTGCAAAAAAAAAAAAAAAAAAGAATCCAAAATTAGGTAATGATAACAGCTAGTAAAATGAGGTGACAGTTCTCAATCAAATAATGTATGAAATCTGAAAATGTCTTACAGTATTTGAAGCTCCACAGGTGGCTAGTGAATTTCTTGTGTTTCTTAAGTGGAAGTTGGCCCTTAAAATGTGAACATGTGATATGTTTATTTTTAGCCATAGTGGTTCCCATAAATGCTAGTTTTGGCCTTTTTTTTTTTTTTTTTTTTGTACCAGGAGCTGAACTTAGGACCTCACGCTTGCCAGACAGATACTGTGCTGCTGAGCTATATATCCCTGACTTAAAATTGTTGATAGAGATTAGTTATTCAAAAAAAGCATAGCAAATAAATCAGAAATTTGATAGTGACCAGTTTTTTAAAAAAGGCTCTCGGGGCTGGTGAGATGGCTCAGTGGTCTAAAGCACCTACTTAGAACAAGCTTAACAAAGCACAGGGACCGCGGTTCAATCCCCCAGCACCACATGCCAGCCAGCCCCGCCCCCTGGTGGGCTGAGCTGGCCACACACACACACACACACACACACACACACACACACGCACACACATAAATGAAATTTAAAAAAAAAATTAAAAAAAATTAAAAAATGAAAAAGGCTCTGTCCCCCTCCTCCCCTCTTCTGTAGGTGACTATCTGTATGAATGATAAACAGTATTAGATTTTTCAAGTAATGTCCGTTCTGTTTTGTGTGTGTCTGTGGTACCAAGAATTGAACTCTGGACTTTGCACTTGCCAGAAGGCCCTTGTGCACTGAGCCCAGTAATGTAGTTCTTTAAAGATTTTTTTTAAGTGCTGAGTGTATATTGATAACATCAAATAGACGGGGCAATGAAGCTAGATTTTGTGTGTAGCACAGAGGCTTAGGCCCAGGGCCTTTGCACTGAGCTGCGTCCCCAGCCTCCTTTACTCTCCTTTGAGGCAGTGTCAGACCTAGTTACCCACACTTGACTTGAGTTTGCAGCCTTCCCTCATCAGCATCCCCACATGCGCCACCGTACTGAGCTAAAGCAGATGATTCTAAAAACACTTATTTCAACTGGCATTGAGCAATTATTAAGTGCGATTAGTGTTACTGTGCGGTGTACAGCTGGGGAGATAGCTCAGCAAGTGTAAGTGCCTGCCTGGCAAGCGCAAGGTCCTGAATTCAATCCCTGGTACCAACAAGAAAAAAAAAGTGTGTGTCTGTTTTTATAGTGGTTGGGTTTCAACTGAAAACCTCGTACTTGTCAGGCAAGTGCTCTACCACTGAGCTATGGGATCCTCCCCCCTTTTATTTTTTTAAATTATTTATTTATTTATTTTAACATTTATTTATTGTGTGTGTGTGTGTGTGTGTGTGTGTGTGTGTGGCCAGCTCAGTCCACGAGGGGGCGGGGCTGGCTGGTATGTGGTGCTGGGGGATTGAACCGCGGTCCCTATGCTTTGTCAAGCTTGTTCCAAGTAGGTGCTTTAGACCACTGAGCCATCTCTCCAGCCCTCCTCCCTCCCCCCTTTTAAAAACTATTGCAAGGATTCAACAGTTTGCCCTGGCTGGGTTCAAAATTGGGATTCTCCTGCCTCAGCCTGCTGAGTATATGGAAATACAGGCGTGTGTTACTGTGCCTGGCTCCATATATTCATTCACTTAAGTTTGCATTTATTTATTTGTATTGGGAATTGAACCTAGGGCCCTGCAGGTGCTAAGAACATTTCCTGCCACTGAGCTATACCCCAGCTCTACAGGTACTTTTAGAAGAAAATTTGACTTAATTGGGCTAAGGTGGCGTTAAGGGCATTTGATTTTTTGTTGTTGTTACTGTTGAAAGCTTTCCCTGGATGATACTGTGCCACCAGGATTGAGAACCTCAGAGTAAAATGATTGTTTCCTTCCGTTTGAACAATCAGAAAATTGATTATTTCGTAAGTGACTGTATGCTTTGTTTGCATATTTGTCTTTAATTTTGCATTAAGCCATTACATTTAATTGATAAGGAACTCTGACATTCATATTGTAAATAACTTAACACTTTTTTTTGGAAGGCAGGATTTTGTTAAATTCTAAATTACCCAGACTAGGCTGGATCTTGTAGTCTTCCTGCCTCTGCCTCCCACAGTGCTGGGATTACAAATCTTTGCAACTACACAAGCCAAAAGTAAAACCTTATAATGTGAATTCCAAATACAATTAAATATATAATTGGATACATGAGACGATATCTGTATCCTTCTGTGCTTTCAGTAGTAATGCTTCCATCTAACCAAATGTTTATGTTTATAAATTAAATAGTAGTGACTTGGATATAAACCATTATTTACCTAAAGTATTAACTTAAAAACAGAAGTGATGGTTTAAACATGTACCTTAATATTACCCACAGATGGGAGTTGTCTAGTTAGAAGAATTTGGAGTGCTGTATCTGGTAAAAATGTTGGCTTTAAAATTGAAAGTCTGCCTGTCGGAGTACAGAAATTCAGACCCTGTACTGGAACCTCTCACTCAGAATCTGCATTTTAGCAAAGGCTCCAGATGATTAATGCATACACTGCAGTTTGGGAAGCATGGTCTAGTGAATTCCAAGCTAGTATGTTAAGAATTGTTACTGTTTTCATGAGGAAAAAAATAGCTGGTGTTTTAGGCAGCTATTTTTGAGACTACAAGGCACCAACTGTCTATCACAGTCACCTTTCTTTCTGGGGTGAGTTGTGGGCAGCATTGTGGTATCCAGGTGGTATACTAGCCTTCCAGACTTAGGAAAGTATGCTCCCCAGCAGTTTGTTGTGTCATTTTGATTCTGTGTGTTTTTAAGAAGAGTATGGTACTTGAAAATCTTCATTCAGATAGCTGCATAATTCCAACTGGCTTTACTAAGGTAATTCTCACCACATGAAAAGAATAGTGTTCAAATGCAGGGCCTTTGTTAGGGAAGTACTGTGCCCCAAGCCATATCCCCAACCAAAAGTTAGTTAAGAAGAAACTGCTTGTTAGGACAAGTGGCTTTTGTTGACATCGTGGTCAGTCTCCTTTTTGTTTCAGTTAAGAGACACAGCTACAATACTAGAGCCACCAATACGGAGTGTCACAAAGGAGCCAGTGATAATTAATGAGCTTCTCCTTCTAACTTGTATTATAATTTGTGAGCTGTTACTGGTGGATTGTAGTGTATTTTACCTTAAGTGTTGTGTGATGCTTACATGTCAGTTCAATCAAATATTGAGAAATAATTTCAGAGCAGAGTATTTGTGAATGCTGGCATTTGGAAAATGTGGCATGTTGGTGTGCTGATGTGGCCATTATTAAGGTGTTTGATGTCAGAATATGACTTTTTAATGTGTCAATGCTTGAATAGAGCTATTCCCACGATGGAGTAACTGAAACTGAATGGACAAGTGGATCTTCCAAAGGCGGACCTCTGCAGGCATTAACTAGGGAGACCACGCGAGGGTCCAGAAGAACTCCAAGGAAAAGGGTGATGCAAGGCTTACTGCTCAGAATTGGGTTTTCAGATTGGCAGGGCTTTAGTGATTATTTTGTATTTATTGTTTTTGTTCTGTTTTCGAACTAACAGGTGGACACTTCACAACATTTTCGTATAGATGGTGCAGTAATTTCAGAGAATACTCCCATAGCTGAAACTATAATGGCTTCAAGCAACGAATCCTTAGTAAATATATTTTGTAAACTATACAAGTGGTATTCTTTGTAAATTACCCTTCAGTTGGAAATGGGGAGGTGGTAAATTTTGGTGAACTTCAGATTTACTTGTTCTAGAACATCATATTTTTAACTGATTTTCCCCATATAGTTCTGAATTTTTCAACATAGCCACTTATATAAATGAATTAAATTCATTTAACAAGAATTTCTTAAAAAAAAGAATTCCTAAGTATTATAAAAATACTTTTTATTAAGTATTTAGAGAATTACATAAGGTTTTACATATGAAGCTTTGAATGTGTTTTCTTTCTAGGTTGTTAATGTAAATTTTTATAATTACAACAGTAGTGTATCTTTTTCTTTCTTTTTAAGTGTCTTTGTTATTTTGGATAATTCTGAGTCTGAATAATTTGAATCTTGGCAGGTTGTCAATAGGGTGACTGGAAATTTCAAGCATGCAGCTCCTATTCTGCCAATCACTGAATTCTCAGACATACCCAGAAGAGCACCAAAGAAACCATTCACACGAGCTGAAGTAAATGCTTCAAGTTTAGATCGATGCTCCCACTGATCTTTCAAAAAGGAAATCTTTGTATCTGTGTTTTAGAATGGGAGGGGGCAGAGCTTTCTTTATTGGGTGGTGTGTATATTCATATGTATGTGCATATATTATTTAAAGACACGTAAGTGAAAATGGAAATTGACGTAGTAAGATGTGCTAATAACATCCTCGTGCTGCTGTGTGCCTCTTAAGTTCTACTTTTCAAGGGAGTGGTAATCTGTCTGCTGCTTATGTCTGTCATGGCTGCAATTTAAAAGTGCTACTTGGGCTGTGGGAGAGACTAGACAAATTGCAAGGTTAAATAACAGAACTTTAAAGTAGCTTTGTATGGTGCTTGGTTGATTAACCCCTGTATAATTTTCAAAATACTAACTGCATGGTGCCTTAAAATTTTAAGGAAACTTTATTAAGAAGTGAAGTACTATTTTTATCTGGGCATGAAGATAAATCTAGTAAAGCAGTCAAGCTAAAGTATTCTTTAAATTGGAAAGATTGCATTGACCACACTTTAAAAGATACAATGCAGTTTGTTAAAGCTCCATGGTAATTGGGCACCTTCTACATTTGCTCCTTTATTGCAGAATTCTTGCCTGGTGTGGTGGTGCACACCTGTAATCCCAGCACTTGGGAGGCTGAGACAGGAGGATTGCTGTAAGTTTGAGGCCAGCCTGAACTACATAGCGAGACCTGTCTCAAAGAAGAATTCTCAGCAGAGAAACCATGCACTCTTAATATTTTGTTAATGAAAAACATGGAAGATCAGTGAGGGAATTTATACTGCCGTGTTAGTTCTCTGGGGTTTTCCCTATGTAATTTGAGTGTGTGGCGGTTTCTTCCTAATGACCACAGCAAGATGTCTTTGTGGAGAGTACATGTGAAGAAAGCATTGTAAGCATGTGGCTGTCTGGAGGACAGCAAATTCAGAAGCAGCTGTCTCAAGATAGATTTGTGTTCTGCATCTTCTATCCAAAATTGTGTTGTAATTATTGCACTTTTTTGTACTAAATTTTAACTTGTGGTTTTTTTACTAGGTGGGAGAAAAAACAGAGGAAAGAAGAGTAGAAAGGGATATTCTTAAGGAAATGTTCCCCTTTGAAGCAGCTACACCAACAGGAATTAGGTACTTGGATACCTCAAATCAAATATAAGTATATCCTGCCAGGGAATCTTTAATTCTTCACCACAAAGTTGTTCTGCCTCTTTTCTCAGAACGAAACTGTTCTTTTGAAAGCAGATTACCTTGAAAGTTGAATCATTTTCAGAATTAACTTTGTCAGTTGAAGAATTATAATAAATATATACTTCACTTTTTTGAGGGGTAATGAGCTTCATTCCCAGCCCCCACATTTTAAAATTTAAACAGAAATCTAATATTTTTATAAGTCACTTGTTTACTGTTAGTATTACTTTTCATGGTGCTATAAATGAGCTCAGGGCCTGTGCGTATTAAACACATGATCTACTCCTGAGCTGCACCACCAGTTTTGAAAAAGATCATTTTTTCCCTGCACTTCTCTTTTGTAAATGAAAATACTATGCTTAGATCTATCAAAGTGCTTCATAACCGAAGGAATCAAAATCAAATCTATTATGTGTTTTTCATCTCCTAAATATGATAGCTTTGAAAAGCCTTTAATGTAGCTTTAATGAATATTGGTCAGTGTTCTTATATTTTAATATTTGTTATTTTCTACTAAACATGCATCTAACTGTGTGTGTGTGTGTGTGTGTGTGTGTGTGTGTGTGGAACTGGGGATTGAACTCAGGCCCTTGTGCTTGCCAGGGAAGCACTTATTCCACTGAGCCATCTCCCCGGCCCCCTCATCTAAATTTTATTTATTTATTTTTTGCTCCTCGAATGCCTTCAGGGCAGGTTTGGCTGGCTGGAGTGTTGTGGGGATCGAACTGCAGCAACCTGAGGCTGCCAGCTTTGTGGAAGCAGCCACTTAAAGAACTGAGCTAGGGCCAGGCGCCCCGCCCCCCTCATCTAACTTAAAATGAAAAATGTGTGGACACTTTAAATAGGTTGATCTTGCTGCTTTATATGTGTCGATTTTCTATTGTTTACTTATGGAATGTACTTAGAAGTGGCATTAATGTTTGATGTTCTTTATGTAAAATTATTATTTTTTTCTTTTTTTTCACTTTCAACAGCGCTAGTTGTCGCAGACCAATCAAAGGGGCTGCCGGCCGGCCATTAGAACTCAGTGATTTCAGGATGGAGGAAACTTTCTCATCGAAATATGTTCCTAAGTATGTTCCCTTGTCAGATGACAAGACAGAAAAAACAAAAAAGGGACGCTCCATTCCCATGTGGATAAAAATTTTGCTGTTTGTTGTTGTGGCCGTTTTTTTGTTTTTGGTCTATCAAGCTATGGAAACCAACCAAGTCAATCCCTTCCTTAAATTTTATAATCCTCAAAACTCCCTCACCAATCCATCTGAATGATTTCTCTTTGGCACATTCAACTTGGTCTCCTATTTTTAATAACTGTAGAAAAACATTTGTGTATACTCATTGACACAAGAACTAAAAAATAATGTGATTTCACCTCAGTAAATTTAGTATTCCATTGAAAAGCAAACAAGATGTATAAAAGGACTTCATTTAAACGTTTTGGACTTCGGACTAGTAGGAGATCACTTTGTGCCATATAAATAATCTTTTTTTAGCTCTGGAACCTTTTCGTAGGCTTTATTTTTTTAATGTGGACATCTTCATTTTTGGGGAAAATGTATATTGTTTTTGTGTATTTGGGAAATAAGGTAAAACATGTATAATGTGAAGCTACACATACTTTGAATTCTTACAGAAAAGATTCTAAGAATTCTCTGCTGAATAAACATTTTGCAAACGTGAAACAGTGATATTCGGTAAGGGAAAAGTAGCTTGCTTGTACTTTTTTAACTGCAAAAATGTTTGGTGTTTATGAGGAAAGTACAGCAATAATCTCTTCTGTAACTTTTATTGAAAGTAATGTGATTGTAGCCCTGTAATACTTGCTTTTTAAAAGATTTCTAGTATCATGAAAACCCGATTTCAGTAAGACCCATTGAAATAAAGTTGATTTTTAGCAGAGATATTTTAGGGTATCATATGTACATGTTTTAGAGAGCTGTTGACTAGCTATACATGTTTTGAAAAGCTGTTAGCTACCTGTAGGACTATATAATTGGAAATTTGTACTTTTTATTTACAGCAAAGCATTTATTCTCAATCCAATTTACTACCAAAATATTTTTTTAGATAATAAGTATATGTTTGTTTAGAGATAAGAAACTTTAAAACACTGGTCTTTTGTTTCATTTAGATTGATTGTTGTATTCTTTTCTGTTACCAAAAACAAATTTTTGCCAAGTTTTTTCTACATTTCCCAGTGCAATTTGACTAAAAAGTATAAAAAGCATTTGCTTTTAAATTACATATAAGGGGGCCAGGGAGATGGCTCAGTAGAATAAGCACTTGCCTGGCAAGTGCAGGGTCCTGAGTTCAATCCCTGGTACCACAGGGAAAAAAAAAAGGGAGAGTGAAACTAAATTACATATAAGCCGTAGTTAATACTTACAGTTGACTATGAGGTGGGCATTATAATTTGTGTACTCTTGACATTATCTTTGAGGTGATTTATTGTTTTAGCTGAAACTAACCTCATGTATAATCTGGTTTGGTAAAGTTATAGATAACTGAAGCTGAGAACCACATAAAAGGTTAAAATTATAAATTTAATCATTTGAATTACAACTTTGCTCATTGACCATAATAAAGCACACTAAAAAAATGTAAGTTATTTTAAAATATCCAGAATAAAAAGATAATTTTTAAAAAGGTGGAAGTTGATGGTGTATATTTAGACCACCACACAGCTTTGATTTGAATTGGCTCCTTTTTGATATGTTTTAGACATTTTCATGTAACTTTGCACCTGAGACCAGAAACACTTAGGTCTGGGCTGCAGGGGGCGTGGGAAGTGCACTCCTAGGTCCGAAGCAGTGCTGGCCTCCGGGGGAAAGTGTGTCTGAGGTGAGCCAGAGGGGCAGGCTTTACTCCGATTTTCCACCATAAAGTAGCAGCAGCTGTCTGCTCCCTTGGTTTGCAAGCTTTGTTTCACACATTGTTTTCAGTCTTGTTTATGATTAGTAACTGTGAGATGCTCCATTCAATGTTTAAAATGTGGGGAGAAAAATCAGACTTGTATGTAAGATCAGTTTTCTAGTAGGAAAAGTATGGTCCAAAATAGCAAAAGTAGGACCAGGTGAAACTGTAATCATTTTCTTAAAACATGTACTTGATCTTTTGTCTGTGTCTTGTTTTATTCCACTAGAGTAAATGTGTCGTTGATGTAAATGCAAAGCATTTCTTCCTGATTAAATCATAGATGTAGACAATACAGTATAATTCAATAATAAAAATAATTAAACTCTAGTTTGTCATTGCAATAAATGATTTTCAGATAGCATCAGCTGTAAGATTTCTAGCGAACACTTCTCAGGTGGTATTTATAGACTCAGTGTGCAGCTCTCCATTTGAATCTATTCCTGTATATTTTCCTCTAACCACTGTAGTAATTGGGTCTCTGATTTGTGTGGGTAAAGAGTGAGTACCCACGGTACTTGCAGAATGGCATTAGGACACTCGAAGGCACCCCTCTGCTGTGTACTGTAAGGTGGCTACTTCCTGCAGTTTTTCAGAGTTTTTCTTCTATCCCTAGTTTTTAGCACTTATATGTACACTCAGAGTCGTTAGCCTTGCTTTGAAAATATCAGACTAGGCCAAAGTGTCACTGTAGTATTCAGATGAGAGTGCTGTTATATCTCTTGACATTTTTTTTCAAATGTCTAGTTTTATGTCACAGATTTTTCCAGCTTCTTCCATTTCTGCCAAAATATTCTGCCTCTAGGATTGATATAAAACAAATACATGAATAATCAAGGAGGGAGGGTGTCAAGTCTAGCAAGTCACAAAGTGGATGTAAAATATGAAATCAGTGTGCACTGAAAATGGGAAAACAGACTTTTTGGAAGCCAGATTGAATGGTAAATATAAGTAAGGTTTCATCTGTTAGGTTGGTAAATATACCAACATCCTAGTATTGTAGAATGTTTTCCAGTGTTTTTTAAAAAAGAAAAAAGGCAGCTCCTACAGCCACCATTTTAGGCAGGTGTGAGCCCTCTGGTTGTTACATGGAGGTTGGTTGTTCCTGTTTTGGTTGGCTGTGGATTTACTGGTCAGACTCGCAGTCCTCCACAACTACAGGCCGCGAGATTCGGAGCTCTCTCGGTGGAGGGGCTCTTCTGCAGTTTTCATTAATGTAGCAGGCCGGCTTCCAGATCCTCTTCCTTCCTGAATAGCTCATCAGCTGCAAGAACTCACTGAGTGCAACCTGTCCATTGCTGTTCAAGTCTGCTTCATTTAGAAATTCATGTAGTGCGTTTTCATCCATTTGCACACTGATACTCTTAATACATGCTGAATGTCAACAGTGGCAAATCTCTGACATTTCTGTCTGTTGGTTATGATTTTATTTAAATGATTCTCAAAACTATATATACACTAATTAGAACACATAGTTATTTTTTGTGTAGTTAGTACAGAGTCTCACTACACAGATCAGACTCAGTGATCCTCCTGTTTTTAGCCTCCCAAGTGCTAGGCTTACAGGCATCCACCACCACGCCCAGTCTTGGTGCCATCTCAGTGTGCCCTGGGGGTGGGGCCGGCATGGCGCACTGGGGATCGGACCCTGGTCCCTGCACCTGCCTAGGCAGGCTCTTCAGTCTGCCAACCTATCTGGCAGACCTTTAGAACACAAATAGTTCTAAAGGGTTAAAATTTTTTATTGCGTGTTCTAGAAACTGTTCTCTTGACTTTTATATGTATTGATTCAACCTTTATGATAAGCCTATGAGACAGGTGTTTTATTGTCTCATTACAAGTAAGGATGGAAGCCGGGTTAGGTTTGTGCCCAGCTGAGAAGTGATTGGTCTGCCTGCACAGAATGCAACAAAGGGGACGGGAGACCCCAGCTGTGATTACCTTAGTCCAGTTCTCCTGTTCCTCCCATGGCGTTGGTGGGCTTCCGAGGTCCCAAATCCTTCAGGGTTCTTGTTTAAAGATTAAGTAGCTTGCTATACTTTTAGTGTTTTGTTTAATCACATCTAGAGAAGAGTTTCAGTCTTTCCCCAGGCATTTGAAGGTTAAGCCTTTCATTTCATTGATTCATTTTTGATTTATGATTTGCATCTTTAAAACAGCTTTGTGGAATGTCTTCTTGCTGTTTCACTATCCATTAAGCACATTTCATCCATTGGTTAAGAATACAGTCTTAGAAGAGGCTCTAAACACATGTGGTTCATCTGTCTTCTTGAATTGCAGTCAGAGTTCACTTAGCACCATTCCCACTAGAGATTTAGAAACCTAGGTGTGGTGCTACACACCTGCATTCCCAGCACTCAGGAGGGCGAGGCTCGAGGACCTCTGCATGTTTGAGTCCAGCCTGGGCTACATAGTGAGTTTAAGACCACCTGACCTATATAGTGAGACTGTCTCTAAAAAAAAAAATCATAAAGGCCAGCCTGTATTACATAATGATACGTAGCAAGAACTTGTCTCCAAAACCAAAAAAGATAAAATGAATATTTAAAAAATGAGGAAGGAAGTAGAGCAAATGACACGGGTTTTTTTCTGTCCCCTTTTGGTCGCATTTGCAGCAGGCTTTTCCTCTGCAGTCTCCTTGGCTCTAGATGGGAAATGGGAGTCCTGAAAGGTCCCAGGTGATCGTGCTATGTTCCCTGATACGGAATAATTAATGAATTAAAGCACCTGCTTAGACACACAGTGGCCCGGGGTTCGGATCCCCAGGCCTGCTGTGCCTGTCCCACCCCGGGCGCGCTGAGAGGGTAAATGAGACTGGGTGTGGTGGTGTGTGCCTGTAATCCCAGCGCTTGGGCCCAAGGCGGAAAAACAGGAAGGATCACTACAAGTAATATACTAAATACATTAAATAAAAAATAAGCAGGAGACATTATGATTCCTGACTTCAAATTATACTACAAAGCTACTGTGATAAAATCAGCACAGTTATTGGCAACAAAATAGACCTGAGGATCAATGGAATAGATTAGAAGATGCAGAGGTCTCTAGGAACACACTCAGCCACCTGATCTTCGACAAAGGGGCCAAACAAGCTTACTGGAAGAAAGATAACCTCTTTAACAAATGTTGCTGGAAAAACTGGCTCTCTACATGCCGAAAACTAAAACTTGACTCAGGTCTATCCCCATGCACTAAAGTCAAAATGGATAAAAGACCTGAACATTAAAACAGAAACACTAAATATGGAAAAGAAAGTAGGAGGAACTCTTGAAGACGGGTAGGTAAAGAGTTCATGAACAAAAATCACACGGGTAAAACTTGAAAGAACTGGGGCTGCAGAGATGGCTCAGTGGAATAAGCACTTCCCTGGCAAGTGCAAAGGCCTGAGTTCAATCCCTGGTTCCATAGGAAAAAAAAAACAAAAAACAAAACCAACCAAAAACAAAACAAAACTGGTACCACCTCTCATTGAGAAGTTTTTGCACGTCAAAAGGAATTACCAACAAAGTAAAAAGACAACCCACAAATTTCGAAAAAATCTTACAAACACACAAAGGTCTGCTGTCTAGAATTTATAAAGAACTGAAAAAATCAGGGCCCCTACATTTAAAGACCCAATCCAGAAATGGGCATCCAAGATGAACATACACTTCTCAGAAGACAAAATTAAAGAAGTGAATAAATATGAAAAAATGCTCCACATCACTAGCCATCCGTGAAATGCAAATTAAAACAACACTGAGATATCATTTCACCCCACAAAGCATGGCTATCATAAATCAACCAACAACAAATGTTGAAGAGGCTGTGGGAAAAAGGGAACCCTTCTCCACTGCTGGTGGGAATGTAGACTGGTGCAACCATTATGGAAATCAGTGTGGAGACTCCCTAAAAAACTAGGACTGGAAATCCCATTCAAACTAGCTATCCCCCTAATGGGAATTTTCCCAGAGGAACTGAAAACATCATATCATAGTGATATATGCGTACCTATGTTTATAGCAGCACAATTTGTGATAGCCAGTTCTTGGAAACAACCAAGATGCCTGTCACATGAGGAATGGTTGAAAAAGATGTATTTTATACAGTGGAGTATTACTCAGGTATAAAGAATGATAAACTCGAAGCCTTCATATTTAAGTGGATGCCACTTGAAGATATACGTGAAATAAACCAGACCCACATGTGTAAGTATTGTATTGTCTTCCTAGTATAAGAACTCAAAAGAAGAATTACATAGAGAAAGGTACAACACAAACGGGGAAAGCGAGAACTTGAGGGTTGGACAATGAGGA